TATTATATTATATATATATTATAGTATATATATATACTATATATATATATATATATATATATATATATATATATATTATATATATATGTATGCATTTGTATTTATTTCACATGTGTCTAGACGAAGGATGTTAATTACATACACACGTATATATATATATTCGCGTGTGTGTGTATGATATATATATCTACGAGCAAAGGAGATATTTACTCAAAACATACCTTTTGCTTTTTACGCATCTTGCGATACTCTAAAGCCTCCTCCGAACCCAGCGTCATCCATCGCGACATGCATTGTTTGTCTGTTCTCGGTTGTCCACTGCGGTAGAAATAAAGGAGGTCATGTATATGAGACCAAAATATTGATTCTCATTCAGACTGTAACTAAAGCCCAATCAAATTAGAATCTTCAACTATTTACAAGAAGTACCAACACAGTGTATATGTACATCAACGTGGATGCGTGTAGATACCTGAGCTCGCCAAGTCGTGGGGCAATCTGCGACCAGGGCACCAAATCGGGTGTGCGCAGGTCATTGATAAGTGCTTGCAGAATAAGATCATCCTCCTCAATCCAGTCCACACGCAGACTGGGAAGGTTTGGGTCGAGAATGTTGTAGTAGTGTTCCCTGCACTGTGCATCCGACCGTCCTGTGTGTATAGATTTTGGGGAGTTGAGATTAAAAACATAGATATATCAGAGTACAAATTTGAGCTTTCTTACTTTCATAGTTGTTGTGAACCAAAGTGGACAGATATGGCTTAAATTATCAAGGTAGTTTTCCACCACTGCATGTTCGTTTGGCCTGATGGTGTGCACGTACCAGAAACTAGTGCTTATACATGCTACTGTATATGCAGACATATGTGTACGCATTGGTGTTTGTTTAGGTAACCATTTAAGTACAACAATGCTTGGTTTTCATCTTTAAAATAAGTCAAGCTAAATGACAGTTGGATTAAGAATATTGTAGTAAAGTTTTCTGTACTGACGGTCCGAATGACAAGTAGATATAATCGTATCGAAGCGCAGTGTTCATACCTACGACATACATGATTTTACAATATATATACGTGTGTACCGTCTCGTACGTATCTGATTCGGCAAAATCTTTTCTGTTTTGTTGCGTGTTCATAGTTGTACTGGGCACTCCAAACACTATACATCGAACACGCCGGCAGCCTTAGAGAACACAACACATCAGCTCAATCACCCGCAGCAGAAACACACACATATCCCCATATGAAAGAAAATGGAAAATATATACAACAAAAACAATTGCACACATAATATATATATATATATAGATAGATAGACAGATAAATATATATATACAGATACACACACACACACACACACACACACACACACACACACACACACACATATATATAATATATATATATATATAATAATATATATATATATATATATA